AGAGATCTCGTTCGGGGCTGTTTGATTTACGACTTCAAATTGGGCTTATCAGCAGCTGCATCAAGTCGCCGCATATGTCAAGCGTTTGGGGATAGTGCTGTGGATGAACGTACTCCAAGGCGTTGTTTTCGAAAATTCAAGTCGGAAGATTTGTCTCTCCATGATGAGCCTCGCAGTGGACGACCACAGGTCTTGAATGACGGAGTCCTGAAGGTGGCCATTGAGGAGGGCAGTAGTCTAACGTGTGTTGAACCTTCAAGACAGTTCAACGTTTCCGATGAAACAGTTAGACTTCACCTGCACTGCCTCGGTAAGACGTACAAACTGAGCAACTGGGTTCCGCAAACGCTGTTGGAGGTCCACAAGGGACAACGAGTGGCAGCCTGCGTATCGTTGCTTTCTCGCCACCGTACCGCATCCTTATTCAATCGAGTGCTTACCAGTGATGAAAAGTGGGTTCTGTGCGAAACTCCCAAGCGTTCCAGACATTGGTTATCTCCTCCGGATGCTGTCCCTAACATCGCAAGACCGCCTATGCACCCACGCATGATTATGATTTGTGTCTGGTGGACAGGTCGTCAAGTGGTTCATTATGAACTGCTACCAACGGGCCAAACGGTCACTGGAGACCTATACTCGCAGCAATTGAAACGTGTGCAACAGGCATTGCGCCAGAAGGATCCAGCACTGGTGAATCGCAAAGGTGTGCTTTTACTCCATGACAACCCCAGGCCGCATGTCGCACGAGTGGTAAGGGATACCATACAGCAAGTTGAATAGGAGACTTTGTGCCATCCACCTTATTCACCTGACCTTGCGCCATCCGATTACCACCTCTTCCACTTCCTGGATAATCATCTTCGTGGAAAATCCTTTAACAATGACGCAGAATTGCGCAAAGCCCTCACGGACTTTTTGCGTCAACCCCCCTCCCCCGAGTTCTACTGCAAGGGCATTGAACAGCTGGAAACACGTTGGCAGAAGGTGCTGGATGCCGATGGCGATTACTTCGAAGACTAAATATACGTTACACGTACTGTGAACCGTTTTTTTTTTTTTCCCTTAAAAACGTGCAGAACTTTTTTGGTTACCTTGTAGAACAATCTACCACGGCCGACGAAATAAAGGGTTCAGTTCAAAATTCCAATCTCTTGAAGAAGTACGGAGCGTACAACTGCTGAAAGGTCTTAAATATGGCAATAAAAATGAGAGGATAACAGTCCGAACAATGTAAATATTATAAATAATTACAATACCTCATCACATAGATATAGACAGAAAAACACATTTTGGCAATGCTAATCGATTACTGAAAGCTCCTGGGATCAAATTTTTTTAGACATTTGCATACATTAGGCACATATAAAAAGATACTTGTACCCATGTTTTTTATCATTTCAACCCAAGCAATGTGATAATATCCCTAAGATTCAAATGATGACTGGTAATGTTAGAAAATTAAAAAGGCTTTAGTGAGGAGAGAGGACAATAAGAGAATAGGATTTAGGAATACAGGAGATGGCGAGTGATGTTTCATTTAAACTTTTGAACATGTTAAGTTACATAAAAGTAAGAAAGAGCGTTCTGTTCGGAATTCCGATCACCTGAAGAAAGTGGGACGTACAACGGCCGAAACGTCTTGAATATGGCAAAAAGATGAGAGGACAACAACCCGAACAATGTAAATAATGTAAATTATTACAATACCTCATCTCAGATCTAAAGACAGATATACATGTCCGTTGAACATGACTTGTCATGTCTTTCTTGAACTCTTCAGAATCCATCCTGCATATTTATTAATCCATCGTTCGTCTGTCCATTGGATATTGCTGTCAAATCTGGTTTGGTTTTTCGTCTTTATACCTCGAGATTGTCGACAAAGTCCAAAAAAGAGTCTGCAACCTTTTCGGTGCTGACTTGACAACTTGACCTCAGTCATTTTCTCATCATTGTGACATAGCTTTATTCTGTATTTTTTTATATAAATGTTTTCATGGCAATTGTTTTAATGAGGTTTCTTCTTTGGTACCTCAGTTGCATGAATTTCAGCATACTACTGAATTAGTTAAAGGTTACGTCGTTTTCTTGTTGAATCAGCGAGACGGAACGTTAAGTCCTATACTAATAATTTCTTTCCCCTCGGGAAATCTCTCCAAATGTCTTACTTTCGTGCAATCTAACATGTTTAAAAGTTTAAATGCAATGTCATTCGCCATCGTCTGTCTTCTTGATTCCTGTTCTCTTATTGTCCTCTCTCCTCACTAAAGTCTTCTCATATTCTACCATTCCCAGTAACCACTTGCATCTTGGTGGCATTATTACCTTCCTTGGTTTGAACTGATTAAAAACGTGCGTACAAATATCTTCTTATATGTGCGCAATGGATGTACATATCTGTCTATATAACTGAGATGAGGTCTTATGTACACTATTTACATGAATCCGACTATTCTCCTCATCTTTGTCGCCATATTTATTATTACGTTTCGGCCGTTGTACGCTCCGGCCTTCTTCAAGTGTCTGAAATGTCTAACTGAAACATTTATTTCGCTCACTGGGGTAGACTGTTCTAGTTCCACGTGCCATGTTTGATGGATGTCAGTTATCAGTTATCTCCTGTTAATTCACCCTCTGCAAGTTCTCCACTGCCTTAACCAGGTATTAAACTCACACTCTTTGGAATCCTGTCACTGGATCTAACCAACGCCTTTATCCACTCTCCAATCTTCATTAAAATATTTACGACGATTCAGCCGTTATACGCTCCGGCCTTCTTCAGCGAATTGGAATTTTAAACTGAAACCTTTATTTCGACCACCGGGGTAGATTGTTCTAGTTCCATGTGCCATGCTTTTACGGATATCTTCAGTTTGAAATTTCAATCACCTGAAGAAGGCCGGTGTGTACAACGGCCCAGACGTCGTGAATATGGCAATGAAGATGAGGATAATATTTCGAACACAGTAAATAATGTAGAGTTTTATTTCTTTGGTTTGCTTTGTTTTATGGCATATCTAACTCAATGGCTTATTTAATGCCGACAAGATATTTATTGCCGGTGATATTTTTTTTTTCAAATTGTGGTAATAATGTATTGCTGGTAATAATTATTTACTAAAATGTATTGCTGGTAATATTTCTTCCTTCAAAAATGTATTGCTGGTAATAATTTTTCCTGACAAAATTCATTGCTGCTATCAAAATATATTTTTACACATTCACAGTGCTTTGACCCCAGTTTGGGGGTTAACTATTTGCCCATAGTTGGGACCCTAACAGTTGTAACCAACACGGCTCAGGGTGAACTTGGAAACACAAGCAATTAAAAGATGATTCCCTGCTCCTCAAAACCTACTGATCAGAGGCCTTGATGTTGAACGAACTTTATCGTCTTACCCAAGACGCGGATGTAGCTTATCGTCGTATCCAGGACGCAGATGTAGTTTATCGTCTTACCCAGGACGTGTATGCAGTTTATCGTCTCACCCAGGACGCGGCTTTAGTTTATCGTCTTACCCAGGACGCGTATGTAGTTTATCGTCTCACCCAGGACGCGGCTGTAGTTTATCGTCTTACCCAGGACGCGTATGTAGTTTATCGTCTCACCCAGGACGCGGCTGTAGTTTATCGTCTTACCCAGGACGCGTATGTAGTTCATCGTCTCACCCAGGATGCGGCTTTAGTTTATCGTCTTACCCAGGACGCGTATGTAGTTCATCGTCTCACCCAGGACGCGGCTGTAGTTTATCGTCTTACCCAGGACGCGTATGTAGTTCATCGTCTCACCCAGGACGCGGCTGTAGTTTATCGTCTTACCCAGGACGCGTATGTAGTTTATCGTCTCACCCAGGACGCGTGTGTAGTTTATCGTCTTACCCAGGACGCAAATAATGTAGAAGATATTTTTGCTATACTAATATAATAAATGGTACATAACATTTGCTCTATATGTTATCAAAATCAAAGCAAGTTGCTATCTTTATTTTTGCTAATAATGCCAGTATATTTTTTTACGATGATCATGATTAATGTTACTAGTTTTTCATTTATTGTTTATAATAAAGAATATCGTTACTTTTATTTTTTTTTATTGGTACGATGACTATGTCTTCTATAGAGATTGGTACGTGCGTTTATTTTTTTAAGATGGCAGAATGTTTTTGTTCAAAAATCTGATTCATGAAGGGTCTTCTCTATTAAATTATAAAAGAAAATATTTTAAAAATATCAAATGTCGGGACAGTTCGCCTGAAGTCGATTGATGACATTCATGAGCGTGTTCCAAAGTCAATACAAACAGCCGTAAACGAAATTCGAATTTTGACCTACAATTTATGTTTTATGTAGTAATAAGCAACACGAATACACATGCATATTATATGTATAATATATGTTTATTCGTGTTGCGCATTAACATCAAATACACATATATACACATAAACACTTTAATATATATATATATATATATATATATATATATATATATATATAGGGGGTAGGTATGTATGTACGGTTATTGAATAACTTCAAAATATTCTAAAGTTACTAAGCAAAAACTAAAAAATTAAATTACTAAGTAATGTTTTGTTTCTTTGAGTTTGGATATATGTGTCTATCTCTCCCTATATATATATATATATATATATATATATATATATATATATATATATATTAATGTTAAAGGAAATATTTGAAATTTCAATTTCTCCCGTTTGAAAATTTCCTGTGTTGCTAGGCAAAACAAAGTCGACGTTCATCTCACGTCTATAAATCTAACCGGCCTTTCTTGTGTTTAGATAAATAATGGCCGAGGTTGCATTCAAACGATGAATTTTCAAAGGCTGTAATTTGTTTGTTGCATGGCTTTATTCTTTCTTTCATAATTCCGAAAAAAATGCTTTGAAGTCTTTTATTTTTTTAATGCATGAAACGGATGAAAACATGCAGAAAAATTGAAATCATTTATTATATGTAAAGATCTCATTGATAGAGAAACGTTAAAAAACAGAGTGACACTGATAGATAGATAGATAGATAGATAGATAGATAGATAGATAGATAGATGGACAGACAGACAGATAGATAGATAGATAGATAGATAGATAGATAGATAGATATGTAGGTAGATAGATAGATAGATAGAAAAAGACATAGAAAAAATAGAAAGTGATATGAACAGCTGTAGATCGATAGACATGAACAGACGTAAAAAGATGATAGACATGAACAGACGTAATATATATATATATATGTGTGTGTGCGTGTGTGTGTGTGTGTGTGTGTGTGTGTGTGCATATATATATAAAGATAAATATTAAAATACGTAGCTAAATAGAGTAGAAAGATATGAACAGACGTATATCAATAAATGTGAACAGACTTAATATATAAATATATTTATATACATATATATGCATATAGATAGATAGATAGATAGATAGATAGATAGATAGATAGATAATGAACAGACTGAAATAGAGATGAACAAATAGGTAGATAGAACGAAAGAAAAATGACCAAGATAGTAAGGAAGAAATGATAGATAGATAGATAGATAGATAGATAGATAATAGATAGATAGATAGGAACAGGCATAGATAGATAGATAATAGATAGATAGATAGATAGATAGATAGATAAGAACAGGCTGGCATAGATAGATAGATAGATAGATAGATAGATAGATAGATAGATAGATAAGAACAGGCTGGCATAGATAGATAGATAGATAGATAGATAGATAGATAGATAGATAGATAGATAGATAGACGTAACGCCTGGATATGCGCTTTCACTCGGAAAATATAATTTAGCTCAGCTTGGCTCTCCTGGTGTTGAAACACACTTGTTCAACAGCAATATTCTGCAACAAAAAATTTTCAATATGAATTAGTATTTCCAGAAAAAAAAAAAACAAGTGTGCAATCTTTTGGAAATCGAATATATTCCGACAAGTCTATCCTGGTTGGCCAAGCATTACGGATGAAATTGGTTAGACGGAGGTATTCGGAAGTTTTTAATGGTTCTTCTGGAGACAGTCGAAATTGTTAGGACCCATAAGAAGGGTGAAGAGGAAAAGAAAATTTTGTCAATGGATAGCAGAAGAGAAATTGGAAGGGATATTTAAAAAAAATAATAATGTCCAGTAATGCTAAGCGGTAAAATTGTTGGGAAATTGTGGAAAGCCTACAGCACACGTTCTGAAGGAAACAGGACCTAACTGAAGAATTCTGTTCGTTCCGCGGAGGCTAAAATCAAATATCGCTCAAAAGAGATTTAAATTGTTTCATTTGATTTTAATATGGTAATAGTAAAATAAAACTTGTCCTTCCGTGATTACTTAACGTGCAGATAGTGCTTCTGTCGATTTAAATTTATAAAACTTTTTATTAAAGTAAATTTTCAAGAAAATAGTTTTATCAAGTCCACAAATTTTTATTGTTCTTGCCAGAATTTAATTGGATGTCCCGCGTAACCTTTTTTTTCTTTCGAACGAGTGTAGAACATCGCCATATTGATTTGTGTTTATTTGCTACGTGAGTTACATTTGCTATCCGTTTTAGTTGTTACTCTTGTTAAAGTGATGTGGTTTCTGTAAATTGGTACAGCTCTTTGTTTATAATTCTGTAGCGCTAGTTATCGACATTCAAGATGGACACCCTTCGCTCAGATCTCCAGTCTTCCTTCATTCATAGCCATTTTTACTCAATGACCTGAGAATGCCACTGAGAATTTAGCTATTTCTGATCCACTTTGACTCCACAGATGTCATCCATATTCAAATCATGATCTGACGTAATTCTTTAGGTTCATGACTCTAGTGTTTAAGTAAATATTTTGATTTTATAGCGACTTGCGTTGTTAACACCTTATAGTACCATGTACCTTTATCTATAAATAATTTCATGGCAATTGATCTGATGAGCTTTTCGCCATGGTGCCTAGACTTTTTGAATTTAAGCGCTGTACTAGGTTGGCGACAAGCTTTCATCATTTAAAATTTGAAATGGCTAGGTGTAACCGTATGTTCTATGCTAATAGTTTCTTCTATGGCATTTTCACTCTTCCGGCTTCTTGTCTCCCGGCTTCTTGTCTCCTGATTTCTTTTCTCTCGGCTTCTTGCTTCCCTGTCAACTTTGATCATCAGAGATTTAAATGTAATGCATATCGTTATTATCTGTTTCCTTACGTCTTGTTTTTATTGTCTTAAGAGTGTATGTTTATCATATTCTCTAACAGTCCGTAACACCCCTGCATCTTAGCCGTTTTATTGCCTTTCTTGGGGTGAAGTGATGTTAAGAAAATGAGTTCAGTTTCGATAGCTCCTTCAAAATAATTACTTATGTCCGTACAAAACATTAATGTTTTGAAAAATCTTACATCATTAACTAATTTTGGGGTCAAGATAAAGTAAATGATACGGAAGACTGAATAGGGTTTGGGAAAACAGGTTTAAAAGTTTCAAATATATCCCCTGCTTACAGGTAAAATGTGGCTACTCTTTGCTTGATACCTGTATCTAAGTTCGTAAATTTGTCAAAATTTATACGCCGAAAAATTGTGAAGGAGTTATTTTGAAGACATTTTTTATGTTTATACGTTCTTTTTATAAAAATATTTAAGTAAATGCTCTGTTAATAATAAACAGTATTAACGACATTTACACGACTAAATGTCCGAGAAATTATCATAGAAAACATGCGTCCTCCGACAGGAATTGAATCTGTATCTTATACGGAACCGTCATATAGCTTAACGCGCTTTTAACGACTGAGCCACAGAATAGCGTCGATTTTACTCTTTTTAAACATACAATTCTCTATGATTTTCTCTCGTTCATTTATATCTGATTGATGCGTATCCAAATGTAAACAAATTTCGTCACACATTATGAAATGACAAAGTCCGGTAATTATTTTCACACATTTTTTTTATATAGAACTGTCATAGAGCACGCCAGGATTCCGTATAGGATACAGGTTCGATTCCTGTCGGAGGACGCATATTTTCTATGAAAATATTTGTATCTATAAAAAGAACGTATAAACATAAAATGTCTTAAAATAATTGTCGGTCTTTGTCCATTTCATAATGTGTGAAGTCATTTATTTACATTTGATACGCCATGAGCAGATATGAATGTACGTGAGAGATTCATGGAAGATTGAAGTTTAAATAGAATAAATTCGAACGATCCTCTGTGGCTGAATCGGTTTAAAGGCACGTCAGGCTATATAACGGTTCCATATAGGATACAGGTTCGAATCCTGTCGGAGGACGAATATTTTCTATGAAAAATTCTAGGACATTCAGGCCGGTAAATGTCGTTAATCCTGTTTATTATAAACAGAGCTTTTATTTAAATATTCGTATCTATAAAAAGAACGTATATATATAAAAAAATGTCTTAAAAGTAATTGTCCGGCTTTCATAAGGAGGTATGTATTCAAATGGGGAAAGAAAACGTTGTTTCTTCCTGGCAATTTAATGTCATCCCAAATCCTTAATTTACTGAATATTGCATGTGTGATTTACCACAAATCACTCCCAGAATATGGCCATGTTGACAGCACGCTGAAATCTATCGACTTTATTAATTCCAACGTGAAGAAGTCGACGACACAGAAATTACATCTTTTACAATTTATGTACTTTAATAAAAGCATAAACATAAGATCCGATCAATCTAATGTCATTAAAGATTAAATTATAGATAACGGGTTGAAAAAAAATAGGAGTTTGTCATTTTCCTTTCAGCAAAGATATTTGAGCATAAAGTGAATTGAGACAGAGATGAATGCAGTGACAATCGAATGAATTATTATTCGAAGCGGAACATTCCAGTGCTTCAGCTATCTTTTGTGTTCCTAAGCTACTTTCATGGAATAACTTATAGCTTAACCTATCGACATCCGTATTTAGGAAAACATTTTTTAATCGATTTTAAAACTTATTTTCCGAAGAAAAAAAAGTTAATTTTTCCCAATTTCTTTCTCTCTGTCTAGGCTATGGCTCTAAACCTACTAAGTACCTAGAATTCGGCAACGGATTATCCAGAGACAGAGAGAGAGAGAGAAAAAAGCAGAAAATAGATAGATAGATAGATAGATAGATAGATAGATAGATAGATAGATAGATAGATAGATAGATAGATATTGGCAGACTGGCATAGATAGATAGATAGATAGATAGATAGATAGATAGATAGATAGATATGATAGATAGATATGAGCAGACTGAGATATATATATATATATATATATATATATATATATATATATATATAGAGAGAGAGAGAGAGAGAGAGCGATAAACATTAATATTTATAAATAGATAGTTATGAGCAGACTGAGATAGATACTAATAGATAGATACTAATAGTTATAGACAGATAGATAGACAGACTGAGATGGATAGATAAATAGATAGATAGATAGATAGATAGATAGAGAGTGTGTGTGTGAATGATACTAATTGTTATAAACAGATATACAGAGTGAGGTATATATATATATATATATATATATATATATATATATATATATATAAAATGTGGCGGGTCCTCCACAAGGCCTTCACCACTATAATCAAATCTCATGTGCCGGTGTCGAGATGTCGGTTTCCTGGGGACTTATCGGCCTGACCCTCATACGTCGAACGCGACGGGAGAGTCGATTATATATATATATATATATATATATATATGTGTGTGTGTGTGTGTGTGTGTGTGTGTTTGTGTGTGTGTGTTCTAGAAAATTAATGGATTTATTTGTTAATCGGACATTTTTATTACTTCAAACAATCTTATTATCGATAATCGTATTTGAAACAGACGCCCCATTTTGATTTTTGATTTTAAAAGTGTGTATTACGCCTATCGGACATTGTATTAGTGAACTTCCGCCACATGAAAAACTCTAATGGTCTGCGAGTTTGAAAAAACTTAGTCAGGAGAATGGATTCTAATGCTTTCAATAATCTATAAAATCTCTCACTAAATGTTGATATTCAGTGTATTTTGCCTATGACTTTAAAGCATTGAATACGAAGTTGACATCGGAAACCATTACTACGGCAGATAGTTGGAGAATCGTTGTATGCCTCAGATTCCCACCGATATGTTTGATTGAGTTATGACTGTTGAACTGAACGCATTGAAACTAAATTAAATTCCAATTTAATATTACTTTTAAGTGGTATTTTTAATGTAACATATATAAGATATACTGTAAAACTTACGTTTCTGAAATAATTTGTAAATGAAATTATAACATTTCTTTAAAGTAAACAATAAAAAATATCATTATTATTATTATTTGATTTGATTTGATTTCTGATGTGTATTCAAAGGGAGTTAAGGTTAGAAATGGCACCATGACATTTTCCACTGAAAATTTTTTTTTACATAGACAAAGCCTTTCGTAACATGTGGGCTGTAATTGTGAGAACAATTTTTTGTATGTCATTAAGACGTGGGCTTCCAGGAATCTCTTCAGTTAGTCTACTGGAATCTTTTCCAACCAATCCGAGGGATCCAACTACAACGAGGATTGTTGATGTTCCCATGTGCCATATATTTGAGACTTCGATATCAACTTCCTTGTATTTTGATAGTTTTTGTTGAAGATCTTAAATGATAGGGACTGTCATATCAATTATTATTATTATTATTATTATTATTATTATTATTATTATCTTTTATTTCTATTGTATACACATTTCATTTCGGATTCCAACCAGAGATCTATGGTCAGAAATGGCTTCATGTCATTTTCCACTGATCATTTAAAAAAAGAAGAAAATAAAAACCCAGACACATTTTCACATAGATAGTATCCTTCGTAATGTGTGAGCTGTACCTGTGTGTAAACTCTTTTATATTTCTTTAAGGTATGCGCTAATAGGAATACTTTCAGTGAATCTATCGAAACCTTTTCTAGTCAACGATGGTGCTAACTGCAATTGGAATTATTGATGTCCTCAATACAATCTGCAGGGACTAACATGTCAATAAGAAAGAACATTCTGTTTTCCTGGTCTCTGTTGACGATATCTGGGCAATCAGCTTCTCTTGTTCTGTTTGTGTCCATAAAATTGTTACAAGTCTTTTATGGGTTTTGGGTGATGTTAATATGATTATCTTGCAGGTTTTTTTTCTCGTAAATGTTGAATATTTTCCAGGTATTGGGCCACTCTGTTATGTCGAGTCTTATATTCGGCAGGTGCAAATACCATGCAACCTGATACAAGATGATCAACAGTTTCTGGATATTTATCATAGAGTCTGTATTTTGAGCTAACAGAATTTTCGGTATTCATGCTTAGAAATTTCTAGTTAGCAAGCATTGATCATGAGCAGGAAGAATGAAACACCCAGTTTCAGCTTTTGACCCTGCCCTACGTAAACACTGATGGGCACGGGTTTTTCTACATCAGCTTCTTTGTACGGGCACAGTATCTCCCATGAAGAGACTTATATTGCCAGCGCTTATACTTTTGGTAGATTACATGTGTTTCTGCTTTCTTTATAAAGTCTTTGCCGCTTCAATAGGTGTGTTATATTTAACTTACATATTTTCCCACACTTGAAGTTCCGTTTTGAGATTGTGTCTTCCGTTATTACAAAATAATGTTTTCTATTTATTTATTTATTTATTGTTCTTTGGCGCAGATCATTATCCAGTCTTTTGACTTTTCCATGTATCTTTGAACACCGATTTATGTAGTTTTGTATGACAGTTCTAGTTGAACTAATCCTCTTCCTCTTTCTGATCTGGACAAAACTCAACATCAGCATTGGGATGATGCATTCGTTTGCAGGTGAGTAGTTTTCTCTGTTCGGAACCCATTGGCTTATATGTCAGATATGGTTCTGTTAAGAATGGTAAAACTGCATTGCACCACATATACAGCCAAAGTGTTTATGTCTATCTTTTGTTAGTTCAAATTTGTATTTGACGCAAGATTCACAAGTTTTTAGTATTCTTTTCTATAGTTCTCCTTCATTTTGGCATGCTGCATACTATCACCTTTGCTAATTTCCAGGTATCTATAGACTTCTTCCATTTCCCTAATCCTTGAGTAATAATATTGAGTATGTTTCTGTAATTCTCCCTTTCTTGTATGCAACTTGTGCATATTTATCTAATTAGAAATCCATTCTTATGTCGTCACTGAAACATTTTACACTATTGAGGAGACACTCATTGTCATCTTTGGCGAAGAATTTGAGATCATTCATGTAGAGTAGGTGGTGAAATAATTTCTTTTTACTTTGTAACCATAGCTACCGCTGTTTAATTCCCGAGAAAAGTGGATATAGGAATGACAGAACAGAAGGGGCGACAGGGAGTCTCACTTTGAATGATTTCTCTTTGGATATTCAAATAACTGGAAATAGCAATACCTTTGATGTGATTTAGGTATTATGTGGTTTTCCACAGTCCCATGCTATATTAAGGAAATTTACTATCACCGAAGAGATTTTGTACATTTCCAAAGCCTTACGAATCCAAAAGTGTGGCACACTATCAAATGCTTCACGGTAATCTATCCATGCAGTGTTGAGATTTCTACATTTTTCCTGTAATCTTTCATGTCATTTTGTATATTGTTGATCTTTGCACTCATTATGAACCCCTCCGACATCGCTTCTGTTCCAGAAGATTGTTGATTTTATCGAGAAAAGATCAAGTACATTTTATCAGGATAGTCGTGATCATTTTAGATGTGGTGAAAAGATGTTGGCCTATTAATCTTCGAATCATGTGTTTCACAGATTTTGTTAGGAAATATGTAATGCATTCAATGATCGATCCTAGAAATTAATTGGGGTTATTAATTAGTATTGATAAAGTTTGCGCAAGAGTTTTATGGATTGATGAAAGATGATACAGACAATAATTGGGTACATTATCCTTTCCTGGGGATTCTAATTTTGACATTTTGTTAGAGCTTACCTAAAAATATTCTAGGTAATATTTTCCCATTCTTATAGAGGTTTATCATTGATTCTTTCTTGTTCTCTTTTGATCCATTCTGCATTGGGGTTATGTTCCTTTCGGCTGTTCCAAATATTCTCCCAAATATTTTGTTGTTCTTCAAAAGATGGTGACGTTTTGACTTTTATTAGTGCATTGTCAATTTCCCCCTAAAACTACTTGTGGTCAGTTTGGAATATCATATTTTGTCGATATAACCTACAACGCTTTTCACATTGTCATGTTCTTTGTGTCTATAAATTGTTAAATTCAGTTTCTTTTCAATTATTTCCTTGATGGATGGAATTTTATTTAGTAATTTAATTTCATATTTCCGCTTAACCTTCCCGCTTTTGTTCGTTGAAACATATTATTATTATTATTATTATTATATTATTATTATTATTATTATTATTTCCCTCGATTTGTGGTGTGTACACATTCCTTCCGGGTCCCAGAAATGGCATCATGACATTTAAAAACACACACACACATATTTTACATAGATAAGGCCCTGCGTAATGTTTGGGCTGTACTCGTGAGAACAATTTTTGTATTCCTTTAAGGCATGGGCTTCCAGGAATCCCTTCAATTAGTTTACTGGAATCTTTTCCAGCCAGTCCGAGGGCTCCTACTACAGTATGGATTGTTGATGTTCCCATGTGCCACATTTTTGAGATTTCGATTTCAATGTCATTCTATTTTGATAGCTTTTTGAAGATCTTCAAAGATACGTTGCAGTCTGCAGGGACTGTCATATCAATAAGGAGGCACTGTTTGGGCGGTGAGCTTTGAGTGTTCTGTCTATGTCTATTGTGTAGTCCCATAAAATTGTTGCAGATCCTATCTCCGTAACCAGGTCTGGGTGGTGTTCATAACAATTTTTTTTCAGTTACCTCCCCGTAGAAGTTCCTGTTTTTCCAGAACAAATATTGGTCTACTCTGTCATGCCGTGTTTTATATTCAGTGGGTGACTGATGCAAGATGATCAATTGTTTCTGGATATTCATCACAGTATCTGCATTTTGGGCTAACACATTATTATTATTATTATTATTATTATTATTATTATTATTATTATTATTATTATCAATAATAATAATAACAATAATAATAATAACAACTACAACAACAATATTATTATTATTTTTATTTTTATTTTATTTCTTTTGATTTCTTGGTTATACTCCTTTCTTTCTGCTACCATGTCATTTCCGACTGAGCATATTTTGATAAAAAATAAACACATTTTACATAGATAAAGCCCTTCGTAAGATATGGGCTGTACTTGTAAGTACAATTATTCGATTTTTTCTTTAAAGCTTGGGCTAACAGGAACCCCCTTCAATGAGTCTGTCGGAACCTTTTCGAATCCGAGGGCTGCGACTACAACTGAATTTGTGAATGTCCGCATATGCCATATCTTTGAGGTTTCAATTTCTAGGTCTTTGTATTTTGATAGCTTTTGAATATTATTATTATTATTATTA